CCTTCCAGCAGTAAGTGTGAGGAAATCTGTCTGTTTAGACACAACTCATCCATGTTAGTCATATATAGACAGTGTGGCTCTTATCTGGTTTTCTTTGGCAAAAGTGTACATGAAAAAAAGAAAAGATGAAGTTCACGTGTTTATCTATTTGTGTGCTGGGTGTCTACAGGGCCGCTCTCCACGTGCCACATTCTTTCCCCTCTCTCCTCTGCTAATCACATTCAAGACCTCTCAAGTGGACCATGATTAGATTGTGCAGACTTCCACTGCTTCTGCTGCCATACGGACATGAAAGAGACAAAAGCAGAAGGAATGAGGTTCTTGCTACAGTACGAGACTATAGGTTTTAGAGTCGAGGATACCCTGTTCGATGTCGGTGCGAGATCTAACGTGAGAAATAATGGCTTCTTCGTGAGGCCCTGTCTGTCTTCGTGAGGCAGATTACTGTGACTGTGTGTGCGTGTGTATATGTTTCCGTGCCGAAGAAAAGCTTGTCTGTTTATTACGTTCAGTTATGTGAGCACTGACAGGAAGGACTTTTGTATCGTACTGTAATGAACTACTCAGACAGGAAAGGATGAACAGTTTGGAAGTATTGGAGAATGTGTCGCCTAATTTGTGATCAACCACTTCAAAAGTTAATGACATTCCCATTAGCAGGCTGTACTTTGTGTTTATTCCTAATCAACACATGTAAGCACGCTAACAAACTTCACTACGTTTGGCGTGTGAAGTAATGTTTGCCATGTTTAGCGCTGTAAACATAGATGTCATTGTGCGCATGCCAGCATTCTTGCTGTTTGCATTTAGAATTAGCTAAGGAGCGGCTAGCATGGTGGTAGACCAGTGATGAATGAACGAATGAACAAAGTACATTTACTCAACTTCTGTACTTAAGTACAATTTTGAGGTAATTATACTTTACTTGAGTATTTCCGTTGTTTGATGCTTTCTAATCCACTACATCTAAGAGGTGGTATATTGTACTTTTACTGCATTACATTTATTTGACATTAGTTAGTTACTTTGTAGATTCATATTATTAATTAAATTACACATTAATGCATCAATAAATATAATCCAGTAATTTAATATGACATGATTTTTAATCCCCCTAATGAGTACTTTTACTTTAGGTATTCAAGTATATTTCAATGACTAATTTATAGGTAAGAGTTTTAATTCAGGACTTTTACTTGTAACAAAGTATTTCTACACTGTGGTATTAATACTTAAATAAAAGATCCAAGTACTTCCTTCTGCTGACTCTTGTGTTTTTCTTCATTTTTTTGTAACAGACAGCTTTGCAAAATCGTTCAGGACATTTTAACTTTTCTTTGCATGATAACACATTAAAACTAGCAGATACATAGGCGACAGTACTTTCTGTAGAGTGTAGAGGTACTTCCAAACAATTACATGCGGTTTCATGACTGTTGCTTCATTATAAAGCCTAATAAACAGAGAGTGGCAGTTTCTTCTTAAAAGGAGGAGGCAAAAAGATAGTAAAGTCCAACACTTGGCTTTTACAGGTCCTGTAAAATGACATTTCATATGACGTGCCGATAGGCAAACAACGATAATTAATTTGTGAAGACTTAACTGATTCATTATTTCCTCTCTCTCCCGCAGTGCTATATTCTCAGGATGGCAGCCAGCCGTGTTCTCCAGAGGGGAAGCAAGTCATCGAGTGCTTAAGATGTGGGGAGCCATGCAAAGGACAGGTGCTGTGCGTACAGAGCAGCCACTTCCACATAAAGTGCTTTACCTGCAAGGGTGAGTAGTACCATCAATATATGCACTTTGGGACTATATCCTGCAATCACACGTCAGTCAGATTGAGACAGATTTGGTCAATGGTATCTAAATTTGGATACTTTGGAAGCTTGAGAGCAATCCAATGAATTTATTTCCTCATGTGCAGTGGAGATGAATTCGTGGCTGCCTTGAAGGCATGTTATGACTGAATTCCTGACTTTTGCTCCAAATCACTTATTGATATAGGCTACATCCCGTCTACTATGTATTCGTAGTGGTGCCTAGTAGAAGTGTTTCGTAGGCTACTCTGTAACATGAAGACCATCAGATGCCTAATAATGCATCTGCCTACTAGCACTGTTCATCAGGACTGGAGAACTGTGGTGGGGACTTTACATTTCCCCCTTTAGGTTGCATTAAAACACCTTTTTTTCAGAGAATGCTAGTTTTAAATTGAGAGGAATTTGCTGGTCATTCAGTCAGCCGGCTGGTGCCATCAGATTAAATTTATTACAAAATATTCTGCATCGACAATGGGCTGTTGTGTGAATCTCCTGGGTTGTCAGACAGTCAGTCACCAGAGTTACTTTGTTTCGTTGAAAACATATTTCCTCAGCAGGCTATTGTCCCCACTAATCGAAACCGGCAAGCTTCTTGTGTTGTTGGCCTTTCATCGCATTGTGAGAGTGTTTACAGCGCAGAGGAAATAAAGAGACTTTCAGTGCACAGTGGCCTTCAGCGGGAAGACCTGGGGATCGAAAGGCTCTGTGGGCTTCACTCAATCAGGATTTGACTCAAAATGTTTCAAAATGTGATTTAAAATAAGCCTTTTTTGGTGATCCATAAAAGTGTTGTCAAAGTTAATTCAACTTTATGGTACAGAAAAAAGGCAAATTAAGCTATTGTCACAGTGAAAACAATTATGTGTCAGTTTAATTGAGTAAAAATCAGTTTCATGCATTTATGAACATCAGAATATAGGTAAAGATTCATCATTAAAGTTAATTGTCATTTCAGAGTAAATTAGTGTTAAGAAATAAAACCCACGTACGCTGTGAGTGAGTCGCAGCACAAATCTATCCTTGGCATCGCTGCCATTTGTCCCGTGCATTACGTCGTGGCAGGTTCAGAGAGACAGTGTTGGGTGGGCTGTGTGGTATCAAATGACTCTGAACAAGCGGGGAGAAAACACTGCCTCCTCCTCCAGTAACCTGTCAAACACATAAACACTTCAGAAACCCTGGCAGAATCATGAGGTCAGACAGCGCAAATAGCTTATATCTCATCTCTTTGGTGGATTACGTAGTTGTTGTTAACTTACTACTATGACAAAAGCCTGAAAAAATGTGATAATTACAACAGTAAATTCATAGTTACTGACCCAAAAGTACATATACATGATACAAAAGACATAAATCATTAAATTTATACAAAACAGATGTATCATGTAGGAAGTTACAAATTCTTTGCCCCAAAGCTCTTTGAAAGAGAATAAAAGAACACAGAAATGTATTGTCTGTCAGAGCTGTTGATGAGCGAAAACTAGGTTGTGAGTGGCACATTAAAGATAATGAAACAGTAGATTACTGCAGCTTTAATGTTTTCTGTTGTCATCTGTCTCTCCCTGTACCTCTGTGTGTGTGTGTGTGTGTGTGTGTGTGTGTGTGTGTGTGTGTGTGTGCAGTGTGCGGCTGTGACCTGGCTCAGAGTGGCTTCTTCATGAAGAATGGCGACTACCTCTGCCCGCTGGACTTCCAGAGGCTTCACGGCACGCTCTGCAACAGCTGTGGGGAATTTGTGGAGGGAGCGGTGGTCACAGTCTTGGGGAAGACCTACCACCCAGCTTGCTTTGTTTGCACTGTTTGCAAGTAAATGTGAAAAAAAAGTATTTGTAACGTTTTGGGAATTCTGAGGCAAAATGCAAATTTTTTTTGTTGTTCAAGGAATTGTGTGGTATACGTTTCTCTCTTTCTCTGTTCCTCAGACACCCTTTTCCTGCTGGGGATTGTGTCACCTTCAGTGGAAAGGACTGCCTCTGTCAGCGCTGCATCCGACCTCTGTCTCCGACTCCTAACGACATCAGCTGTTCCAGCAGTAAGTGCACTCTTGTATGATTTGCTTTGGACATTTAATCCAGTGTTCAGATCAAAACTATCTGTTAATGGAGCTTCAGAATAGACCAAGACTTTGATCCCATGCAGACATAATCAGACAGTGGATTATGCAGTGGACATTGGCCAAGCTGATATTGCCTTAAACATCCTGTCATCCTCTTGGGATCCAGGTCAATGACTCACTATGGACTAAGAGATCCAGCAGACCTAAACTCTCCATCTTAACTTGACCTTATTCAACTGACAACTATAGATAGCACAGGGATCAATAGAGGATTCAGACTCATAAAGTCTCTGGATTAAGAGGATCTGTCTTTAGGACTGTACAGAAAGGTGCTTATTTAAAAAAAGAATCGACATCAAAGAGCAACTCAAATAGTTCAGTTTAAACATTTACATCCTGAAGTAATTAAGAAGAATATAGGTACCTGAACTTGGGTATCACTGGATCGACTTGGCCAAACACATTTAGTGTTGGTTCATTTGGATGTTGAATGTTATCTCTTAATGAATATGTGTGTGTGTGTGTGTGTGTGTGTGTGTGTGTGTGTGTGTGTTCTCAGACTGCTCTGGCTGCGGTAGAGACATCAAGAACGGCCAGGCTCTGTTAGCGCTGGGTCGCCAGTGGCACCTCGGCTGCTTCAAGTGTAAAGCCTGCAGGAGAGTGCTGAGCGGAGAATATATCAGCAAGTAAATACAAATATGCTGCCCATGATTCTTTCTCTACCTTCTCTACCTTCTCTTCTATTAAGAAAGGTTCGATTTAGAAATGATGTTGGCAACTTACACAACTAATACACAGAAATGTGTAAATGAAACGTCTTATCTTTCAGGGATGGCGTTCCATATTGTGAGAGGGACTACCAGATTCAATTTGGGGTACAATGTGAAGCATGTCAGAAGTTTATAACTGGAAAAGTCCTGGAGGTGAGAAATCTTTACTTTGAGTTAAGAGTAAGATTTGATTGCATTTTTATTTGCATGACTTGCAATTGAAAGGCATTTTGTGACTTAGCTTTTCTTAAATGTTCTTTGTTTTCCCAAAAAAATATATCAATATGACTTGACGGTTGGTGTTTCTAACACATTTATAATTTCTAATTAAACAATTACCCTATTTTTTTTGTGCAGAGATTGTTTTCACATTCATCCGCTGAACAGGGGAAGTGTCTCTGTGTTCACCTTAACTCTGCCATTTTAAGTGTAATTATGTGAACATTTCAGTGCACTAAGAATGGACTATATCAGTGAAGTAGGAGACATCTTGTGTCACCCATAATTGCATATTCATAGATTCTGGAGTTTTCAATGTGGGAGAAAAATGTGGAAAACCCATCGCAGACAGAGATTATTATTGAAATTATTAACAGATTATTTCTATGTCTTAAACCCTGATTTGATGCGATCTTTTGAAGCATGTTCCCACATCCAAAAAGGTTGGAATCCCCCTATCTTAGTTTTTTTCTTGGTAATAAAGCCTAACTCTGACACTTTTGCCTTTCTCATCATCTGCTGCAGGCGGGGGAGAAACATTACCACCCCAGCTGTGCAAGATGCAGCCGATGTGACAAAATGTTTACGGAGGGTGAAGACATGTATGTGCAAGGTCAGTTTGAGACTCAGGCTTGGATGAATACATACATTGAAAATGTGTTTTAAAATGGAAATGAAATACTTGCTTCGACCTGCTGTAATTTTGTTTTATTTGCCATAATCTCGCTGCCTTGGCAGGATCAACAGTTTGGCACCCAGACTGCAGAGACAGCAGCAGAACTGAGGACAGTTTCATGGTAAGTCCTCCTGAATAATTCAATGTGTGTCAGAAAGAAATATGCAAACACAGATTTCTGTCAAGGCATGTCATGTCACAATATCATCTATATAACGTCTCAAAATAACTAGTTAATATTGGGCTGTAATTACAAGGAGGATGCGAGTGTGAGTACGGTGTCGCTGTATTTACACATTCTCTTCCCTCCCAGGTCAGCAGACCAAAAACACCTTGTCTTGATTTCTTTTTCCCCCGACAGAAACTAAAGGTTAATATTGTGCCGTTTGCACTGATGGTTTTTTCTAGAGTGAGCAGGCTGTAATCTCACGTTTTTGAGATTAACTGCACTCGCTTCGCTCACCAGGCTGGCCAATAAGAGCTCATGTGCTAATTCAAGGAAGCAGAACGAAGACCCTTTTGATACATAGAATGAGAGTTCCTTTCTATAACTTTAATTCTTGTTTTAAAGAATCGTTAAGACGAGCTTTTAATTTGTAGAGCAGTAATTATTAAATTTCATGGATACACACAAGTTAGCCGTATAGCATATTGTGAAGTTTCACAGTGATGCATGCATGTCATCTGCTTGTACCTGCTCAATTTACAGTAACAGCCACCAATGTATGATGTTTGTACCATGCAAAACAAAAGTCTGGCTCATATCATTATTAGGTACAAATAAAGGTGCTTTTGTTCCTTTTTAGCTGATTACAATATGGAACAATGCTCATAAACTGCATGAGGCCAGGCCCAAACTGCTGCATTATGATTCTTAGTGCTTGCTTTTACCCACATGTGTGACAGGGACCAAGTTGTGTGTATGTGACTATGCATTGAGAGAAAACAATGGAAGCTGTCAACCAACACCTGAGCTGAAGCAGTACGTTTCTCAGCTATATGAGTCAAACTAATAGATGTTTTTTTTTACCCCTTTTAGCCCACTAGATCCTCATCTGAAAGCTCCTGCTCCAGGCCGGGCTCGTGCACCCCAGGGAGTCCAGGTCGGACCATCTGTGTAAGTTCTGGTGACAACATCTGCTTAACACCTTCCATGGTGCACAATTCACCGTGGCTTGATTTACATCTAATTTATCCTTTATTTGTACATACAGGGGAATCGTACGGACAAAGTGTCTCTCGTGCAAGATCATGCTTTTTGTAAACAATGACAAACATTTTAGAGAATAGCCAATCGTGGAAAAACATTAAAGAATTTAAAAATAAAAGAAAACATTTTGAAAAATAACTTTTCAAACCTTACCTTGGCTGATCGGATCTAGTCTTTTTTATCTTGTGAGAGAAAGACAGGATTTCAATTGTGGTTGTCTCAAATCAGCCGCATATTGAACTTGTACAGTATTTAGATTTATTTGCTGGGTCAATTTGAATTCATTGGCAATTCAGATTGAAATTTGATTATAAAAGCAAACCCGGTGCTTTCGGTGTCCTTTTGTTTCCTCCATCCAGTCTGATTATTGTGAGGAATAAACTTTACCCCCATCAAAACACCTCAAAATATGAATCAAACACGATTTACTTTTTTATACTTGAAAGCCTGAGAAATCATTTACATAGTGAAACAAATGCAGGCCACAGATTATAATGTTAACCTGTCCACCTTTTGTGCCAAAGTCAGACCATTGTGGTGAACGGTAGATGGACTTTTCTAGTCTTCTGTCCACTCACAGTGGGGTTGTGGGATTAAAGTTTAAGTCCTCCCTGAAATCATGTATTATGTAACCTTTGACGTTCACCTGACTTAACCCCTGCTGTCTGCTCCTTGTGTCCTTCACCCTCTGTGTGCCTCCTCCCTTCTCCTCCCTGTCCTGCTCCCAGGCAAAAGTAGATAATGAGATCATTGATTACCGAGACTTAGCAGCCATTCCCAGAGTCAAGGCTATATATGACATAGAGCATCCTGATATGATATCTTATAAGTCTGTGAACAACAACTCCTCTACTTTGGACAACAAAGGCATCAGACAGGACAGGCAAAGCCCTCCAGAGGTAACTTTGTTCAATCATCATCAGTATCATTCTTTCACTGTTTTTTCTTGGTTTGATTTGTGAGTCAAACCATGTGAGGTCTTGCTTTGTTCTGCTGATATGTTGACTGTTCTTTGCACAAAAAAACAAATGGTCAGATGTGTGTGTGTGTGTTTTGGACCAAAAGCACTTCTACACGTCAAATAAAACTTCAATAAATTATAAAAAATTAAAATTCAAGTCAAGATCCTTGGCAGGTATACATGATACTTTCATCTTTAAGAAGTGGGTTGACACAGAGAAACTTAAAATACAATCAGAGAATGTTGGCATACTTCATATAGAGTCAGTTGATAAAGAAACAAAAGTGGTTGCTCTCTACTGCGTCATTGAGCATTCATTCATGATCTCTGCTAAGCATAATTGGCTAAAAGTACCTTTATAATAAAATCAGTTTGTTTCCTATTTTTCATATCTGTCTTCATGTAAAACCTCGTAACTCTATGATTTCAAATTCATCTGAAGGATTACAGAGTTGAGACTATTGCACACGTCTTTCTCTTACAAATCATTTTACCATCGTGGTTATGATAAGGTTGTTTTTCTTTTTCATATCAGACAAATTTGGAGATACAAGGTTTTCACCCGAAGTGTCTACAATGTATGTTTTGTTTTTTCTGGTTCATACATTTATTTTTCTTCTTCTGTTTTGATTCAGTCACCAGGAAATGTATCTGAAACCACAGAGGTAAATATTTGTTTTATTAACTTTACTTAGACTTACTACATGCAGTATATGCCAGACCCCTATTAAAATCATACGTGTCAACACTCATTGACGCAAATTCATTTTAATATTTGTTGTGCATTCAACACTGGTTTTGTGTCTACCTTCTTTCAAGGAGAGTTTTGAAGTCGGAAAGTACATACCAAAATCTACACGCCACGGATCTTTTGGAGTTCATACAATAAACAATCGTCACAGCTACACGCCAACTCTGTCCAGATCACCGCAACACTTCCACCGGCCAGGTGAGAGGAGCGGACAAAAGTAAAAAGATCGTATTCTTCTTATCAATATTAACCTCCCTCTGCTCACTTTTTCTCTTTTTTACCACCTTCCCTTATCTCCTACACCTCCACAACTCCTCACTCCACTTCTTTCGTGGAATAACAAACAGGATTGATGCTTTCTCCCTCTTTATTGTCTGGCAACAATGATACCTGCCCCGCTTCCCCTTTATGTCACCACTTACTCCCTCATACCAAAGGTAAGAACCCGTGCTCTTCTGCATCCCTCCTCCCCTCCTGCTATTGCCTTACCTATCGAGCACTTATATTTGTTAGCGAGCGCACCATTTTATATTCTGAACTACTATGGACTGCGCTGAGTGCAATGGTGAATTAAGAATTTCTACAACAACCAAATACTGAAAACAATCTGGTTTAAGGGTCAGAGTTGATCATTCATATGATGGATGGCAGAGATGTGTTAGAAACACTGAGCCATCGAGTGGTCAAAGTTCAGAGACTGTCAGCCACTCAGACTCTTTTCATATCATATCGTACTGTAGAAAACAGCACAGCTGGAAAAACACACACTGTAGCAGCTAGCTGCACCCTTCAGATAATCCATTGATCTTCTCCTTTCCTTTCCCATTTTGCATATTTGACTTAATCCTACTTTTTCCTTTCTCTTGTTCTGCCGCCTCACCCATCGCTCACTTAATTCTTACTCTGAAAAAAAGAATCCTTTATATGAATCTAGATCAAAGTAGGTATTTATAAAACAGGTTTGATTGATTAAATAAGTAAATATTTCTGTGCCTGTTCTCAACTTCACTCACATATTCCTCTACCGTGCCTATTTATAGAAGTGCTGTGATTTTCTAAAGCCTTTTTATCATGAGTGTGTGTGTGTGTGTGTGTGTGTGTGTGTGTGTGCTGATGAGATATGACAAGCTCTAACCAGTAAGCTCTGGCATTTGTTCTGGGTGGGAACTGAAAATCACTCACAACCCACTAACAGCCTACACAGTCTTTTGTGTATTGTGTGAGCAGTGAGCCATTTATAATTGTTATTTATATTTAATTGATTTGAGATCCTTAAAATTATCTTGACGATAATTGCTGAAACATCAAATTAAACTGTACTTAAGAAAACGTTTACTACGCTTTTGTTTTTTGGATAATTGATGTAAAGTTAACTACAATTATTATACATGTGATGAACCTTTACTGCTCTTTGTGCTGTTCTGAGTAAGTACATAAATGATAAGTACAGGTGCTCTATTATACTGGTAGTGGTCCCAGTCTTTTTCAGGGAAAATGTCCTCTGAACCAAAAAGAACATAAATACAATTTGAATGCAATGCATGAGTTCAAAACAGTGAAAGGGAAAAAGGAGATGCTGCAGAGGTTTGTTACAATATATGATTTTCGTTCTGCTGTGTGTTAGAATAAATGATCTGCTGACGCAGCATTCTTTTCTATCTGCAGACGAAGCCTTCAACATGTACAGGAGGCCCCCAATTTATAAACGGCAAGGTACGCTATGACCTTTTCATCTGTCAAGCAACCTTTTCAAAAGTTCATTGTAATGCTGCTTGAAGCAGTTCAATATTCTACTGATTGTCATCTCAGTTGAGTTGTTCTGAAGCATGTGTTTGTATTCTTGTACATTTGTACAACATTGATCCACACTGAACTCTACTTACTTATGCCAGTCTGTGGTAAATATAAACGTAGAGCAGTCCTGAGATGTCGGTTTTTCAGAACACTTAGCAAAGGGCTAAGAAAAGAAGCTGGCGAGGTATATTCTGCTCAGTAAGTCCGATCTAATTTGGGCAAAGAGCCGCGTCTGACTGTAAATCGCTTCATGGGGAGCTAATCTGTTTGCTGTTTCACTTTCACATAGATCCAAATTCCATCACAACCCAAACATCCTCTTTGCCTGGATATGGTCGCAAAGGCCTCAATCCGGTAAGAGCAACATCACAATGCTGCCTTTAGCATTATGGTGCAAGGCTATTAACTGATATATAGGCTCATTTCAGTTCAAATATACATTATTGTGAAGTCCAATTAGATAACAGCTAACTACAAAAGAGTTGCATGCTTTTTGTTTCTTTGTGTTTGTAACTCTGGTTTGTTCAATCAGCACTTAATGTTTCCTGTTTTCCCTCGTCTTCTCATTAAGCCACCGTCAGCTGATTTCTCCCATTACAGCAGCGACAGGTTCAGAGGTTAGTACATGTAGATATCTTTATCATCCTACATGGATATTGTTGATTCCCTATAAAATCAACTCAGTGGATAATTCTTTAGAAGCTAATTGGTGTTGCTTGTTCTTTACCTTTCCCCCTGCCTTTCAGACTTTAAGGTATGTGAGAAGAGCTTTAAGTGATCTTGAATCCCCCGGTCGTACTTCCTTTCCCTGTTTGGTTTACTGCATTTCCAAAGGACTGGCCTCCCCTCACTGTCTGCATGAGCATGTTTTATGAAGTATGTATTCAACTCAATTGTAGTCACAGCTTGCAGATCTCTTCATTGATATATGTGATGCACTGTTTGCATAACTGGCTCTCTAACCACACATTTTAAAAATATACTTTCTTGCAGTAATTTGGCTTTTAGCTTTGAAGTGATTGATGTCGCCATGGCATTTTCCCATTGCACGTTTTTTGCTTCATTCTGTAGCTCATCTACGACGGTCAACATCCATTAGCACGAATGGACAGAGGAGTGTCTATGCCTAATTTGTTGGAATCAAAAGCAAGTATTGTTTGTATATCCATGTGTACTAGAGGAGAGTTTTCACTGCAAAGACTTGTAATGTTCTTCACCTATAGGCACCTTTAGAAGATTGCATGCCAGAATAAGAATAATACAAGAAAAAAATTACCGGTTTCCTTCATTATCGTCCTTTCTTTAAAAAAAAGCCCATGTGAAAATACACCGAGTCTTTTTATAAAGGCTAAAGAAGCAGAATCTTGTATTTTTCCCTGAAGGCTGAAGCGCTGGTACTATAGAGTACTGCTATGCATGACAACTGTACAGCGGTTATACAAAATGCATATTTGCATGGTACATGATATTCAAACTCTATCTCATACGTAAGTGTACAAAAGATTGTGTTTAGGCGTAGCATGTGCGATAATCCACTTATAAAGCCTTCTTAACCAATCTTTTTTTAATTAAGGTCTACCCATATGAACTGCTCGCAGTTAGTAGTAGAGGACGAGTGAAACTTCCCAGGGATGTTGACAGAACAAGACTTGAGGTACAGTAACATGTGAGGAAAGCATCATAATTTACATGGCTGAACTGACGACTTTGCATTATTTTTGTCTGTAATTGCCATTTGTTAAATAAAATTTATGTCTAAACTGGACACTGAAGTTTGCCTAAAAGCGCACCAGTTCAAGTGCAAAATGTGTTTTCAATATTTTCCATTTAATAAATGCTGGACCTTTAGTAAAATACTACACATACATGAATGTTGATACATTCCTTGAGAGTGGCATCATCTGCTGAAAGGTTTTCCTTCAAAATAAGATGAGGACATAGTTTAGTTTCAAAACTACAGTATGAGTTTTATTTTAGAAGAAAAAAAGAAGCAACAAACAGATTAACTGTGCTGCTTTTTCCGCAGTTCACTTTGTTTTTTCTTGCTTTCCTTTGCAGCGCCACCTTTCCCCGGATTCATTCTTTGAGATCTTTGGCATGGAGTTTCAAGAATTTGACGTACTTCCACTGTGGAAACGTAATAATATGAAGAAGAGGGCAAATCTCTTCTAAATGCTGCCTAATGCAGGTTTGAACTCGTTGTTAATATGCAGTACATATTAAGTTCCGATGGCCCCTTCTGTTTATTTCTCGGCCTTTTACACAAAAATGTGATATGTTTTGCTTATAAACTGGACACAGTGTTGTGTTTCCCAGTTAGTTTATGTAAGCTTTTGTAATAATGTTTGAATGTATAATACCTCAAAGTAGATATGAACATGAGAACTCAACTCGCTATAGTCTTGGCTTCACTGATAGAAAGCCATTATTATTTTCTCTTTCCTAAATCAGCCGTCTCCCCAGGGATTACGTTCATATTGGACAATTAGCTGCATACAGTGTATCAGTACAGGACCGATCGGTACAGTGTAAATGCAACAGGTAGAGTGGCATAAAGTCATTTGTTCATCTTTAAATGCCAGAGACTGTTTCAAACCAACAATTGATGTGGACTTTTGTGATATTTACCAATGCAGACAATCTTTCCGTTGCCTGACCGATGCCTAACCTCCAAGATGTTAACTGGCGTGCTGCTGTTATGTTTTCACACTCAGAGCACCGATAGATCAGCAAAATGCTCACATATCATCAAAACCTTGGATTAAGATCAGTGACAAGGTTTTTGAGGGGGAACTGATGCTTTCAAAAAATATTTATTCCTAAAACATATGCAGATCGCAACTACAAGATGGATACGGTTAGGCATATTGAGGATAATGTATCAACATGTAGTTCAATACAGGAAGAAATGCACGAGTATTTTTCTGCTTGCCTTCTGGAAATGAGAGAACGATTGATTTCAGAGCACAGTGTTTGAGAGGAGTAAGCGTGTTTAAAGTCAGTCATTCATGTCTAAAGTTGTTGAGAAGCAGGTTTAAATTATTTTGTCTTAAGTGAAAGCCTTTGTAGATGATGATTATTAACCTTTCGGAATAATACATCATGATACCTGATGTATGGTGCAGTGTTTGGCTACATAAAATGTTATAACTATACATAACTTGTCACCAACATTACATGTTGGTGACAAGACTCTCTCAGTGTTGTCATTGTTACTTCAATATGATATTATATTTATGTTATTCATTTGATTCTCACTTTGTTGTCTCACCGGTTACACAAATGTTGAAACACAAAAACTGAAAAGAACGTTTTTGAAAATGTTTATGTCAATAAATCAATGAAATGTTTGAAATTGGGTTGTAAAAGGAATAATTAGGATGATTTAACTTATTTTTGTTTTATGTTTTCCCCTGACTTAGACATGATAACAATCATTGTATTAGTTACCTTGACACTGCTGTCCCATCACACCACCTCAAGCACCCTAAATAAAATCAAATTTGAGAAAATGAATGCCTCTTTATTGACAGAATAAATTAGGTTGTGTGTTTGCAATGAGGAGTCCGTTTTGAGGCCATATTTTTGCACATAATTTCAGTTTTTTTTGGTGAATCTCCCAGAAGAATCTTATTATCCAGCTTTGAGAAAAATATATAAATACAATTAGACTTCAATGAATCTGCCCATGATGACAGATAATCTTGATCTGGTTTTCTATACTAGAGATACCTTCATGATGTCTACTCTCTCTGTACAGCATGCATTTCTTCAGCATGCAAATTTCAGTCAGAATCAGTGATGAATACATTGTTAGAACTATCACCTTGGCAATGAAGTAGCCGCCATTCTAATTACTATCCAACTTTCTTGGCTACCTGTCAAAATCAAGAGACAGAAGGTCCAGCTTAAGATAAACTACTTTATGGAAGAATGCAAGCAAAGGACAACCAAAGTACATCAGTGTTTCCACACTCATCCGCTACAGTGTTATCAAAAGTCTTCCATGACTACATTTCCACAATTTTAATGGTGTAATAAGATATGACACCTATCCTTTTGAAATAAATTCGATTTTCTAGTGTGCGCTCTGCTTTCATAAGGCAACAAGTAGGGTTCCAGTATGTTGCAAAGCATGTCAACATTTTAATAACGTCACAACATTCAGTTACACTTCATGTTTTCACTCATAAAACCAGCCACGTGGTGGAAGAATCGCAAAATTCCCTGACTCAACTTCACCTGTACTCCATCTCTCATGCATTCATATTTGAATTTGCTCCGACATGTTTGTACAGCATGGTTTTATTTCTTTTACCATCTCCAAACGTGACTCCCACTCAGTCTTGGACACAGCCATTGCATATTTAGGACCAACAGATGGTGCTCTGGAGCCTTGAACCAAAACTCCACTTCAGGATCGCTCCCCCTGTTTAAAATGAACATTTGACAGGCTTAGTTTATTATATATTTGGGCATTATATTTGAGACATTCTTTTTCTCTACTTGCATCTATCAACATGTCATTTAGTTGTAGTAGTAGTAGTAGTGTAAAAATAGCCTCCATCACGGTCCCTTCCTTTGTAACTTACTATATCAGCCCCAATAATAAAACAGACAGGATAATGGAAACATTATAAAGTGTTCATTCATGCTCTGCATCTGTTATCAAATCTAATAAATCAATTATTTTTCACTGGAATTTCCAAGACTATAGTGTTACAGAGTGTTGTGTCATGTTACGTGTAAAAACATACACAACATTAGAGATTTATGATGACATTTATGTAGTGAGCTTTTGTTTGCCTGCTCTCATTTGTTTAAAAGTAGGTCATAAAGAAACGCTTCTGTGTAGTACTGCATTAGATGGCTTTAGACTTTTGCATGCACACATGAAAGTTCAAATAACCAAGGGGTTATCTTGTTTAGATTAAATATAATCTTTACCAAGTAAAACCTCAATAATTACCGTGTGACATCTTCATCTGAGGTAACACAGTTTTGACTGTTTACCAATTGTTTAATGTTAGACAAAAGGAAAGAATTAGAAATGTTTGGACAAATAGTTACACTTCTTTTACTTGTTTTGTTGCTTTATTGTCCTGCTTTTATGGATAAGCACACCACAACCCCCCCCCCC